TCTAAATTGACCATAAATTAGTCAAGTCATCTTTTCTGTCCTCACATCAATGATGGTACGTGTAGTAGTCAGGATTCTCCAGAGAAATGGAACCAAAAGGAGATAGAGATAGAGAGATAGTGATAGAGAGAGGTAGATAGAGATTGAGATGAGAGAGAGAGAGAGAGAAATGGTGATAGAGAGATACAAATATGAATAGAGATACAGATACGGATAGAGATACAGATACATAGATAGATAGTAAGACATTGGCTTACATGATTATGGAGGCTGGCGAGTCCCCGGATATTTAATGGTGTACTTCCAGTTCAAAGGCCAGCAGGTTTGAGATCCAGGAAGCATCAATGTTTCTATTTAAGTTCAAAGGCAGAAAAAAAAGGCAATAGTCCTGTTAGAAGGCAGTTAGGCAGGAAGAACTCTGTCTTATTCAAGGGAGGGTTCGATTTTTTTTTTTTCATTAGATGAGGCCCACCCATAGTAGGGAGGGCAGTCTGCTTCACTCACTCAACTTTCATGTTAACCTCAATCTCACATAAACACTCAGAATGATATTTGGCCAAGTGTCTTGGTACATCATGGTCCAATCAAGTTAGATACATAAAATTATCACAATATCTTTAGCAAAGTCCAAATCATTGATGCTACCTTTATCATCAAGGAAGAATTTCAAATCCAAATTCCGACTTTAAGGTTACCTACCCAAAATAACTTTCAAACAAACTCGACCATATTGCCAGGAACCTATATAATGCATCCCCATTTTCAGACTACAAAAGTACATCTTTTCCAGCATCATTAAACTCACATACTTGGCCATCTCCAGCAGCACCTGGTCAAAGACTTTGCAGTTTTTCAGGGGCACCCATAATTGTCACTGCAGAACCTTGAATCAAAAGATTTACTCAAATATGCAACCAAAAATATTTGCCCGGTAAGCCAGGCCATAGATGAACTACTCCCATGCCAAATCTATTCTAAGAGTAGATTTAATTTCTTTTTCTCTCAAAAGAAACTTCCATCTGATATCCAACGCTAGTTTCCAGATTCACTCTTGGGAAACCAATAAATGATATAATAGAGAAGAACTTCGTGTCTGCTCCCATTTCTTGACAAAATCTCCTGAAAAGATGCTAGCTAGGAATCTGACACCTTTCCAAGCAGTAAGCACAAACTCTCTCGGGATTTCTGACAGGATTCTGATGCCAACACATGTCCATGTCAGAAGCAGTAAGTCCCTCCGACATGTCACCCTGCAGGAAAGCCAAGCGCAGGGCCAGGCATCCAGGGACCCATCTGTACACGGGGTACCGCGATTTCTCTTGCAGGCAAAGCTTTGTTTGGCTCTGAAACACTGCACTCTTGAAGCTGTTGACAACCTTTCCAATTTCCAAAAGAGAAATGGGACTTTGATGGCATCAATGTGCACCTAACAGACAAAAAGCAGGAGCTGGCTGCACTAAAAAAAAATAAATAAATAAATAAATAAATAAATAAAAAGAACAGAACATTGTTAGTCTTATTAAACAATCTATGGAGGCAGCTCCACGATCAGCTGTGGAATATCAAGAGAAATGTCGGCAGTTACACAGTGAGTGAGTCACATCATTTAGGAAAGACACTGCCTCAATCACCTTCCCCTGCTCCCAGCTACTCCCAGCCTGACCATCCGCAGGGCCCGTGGCCTCATCAGGACCTCTCTGGACGCGTGTGGCTTCTTTCCTTCTCTGGTGCAGTTAGCATCCTAGGAGGATGCAAAGTTTTTGTTTTGGGTCAACTCCAAGTATTTATAAAATCCTAATCATTTCACATCAAGACTTTTTCCTGAGACCTTCCAGTGCATTTCAGGATGGTCAGACACAAAGAGTTGCCTAGTTTTATTGGATTTTGGATCTCATTGGCACATGGAAAGCACGCTAGCATTTGTGTTGGTGATAAAAGAGGAAGCAAATTAAATATATAGGGTTGTCCCCAAAAATGTATGCACACTTTAACCGCAGGTAACTCACTTAATTTTCACTCCTTTTCAGGTTTAACTGATTTAAAATAATGGCTGAAACCAGACTAAGCTTTGAACAAAGAAAATGTATCCTAAAGTGCCACTAGACTTTTTTTATGGGGATACATAAAAGATAACATTTATGGTACCAAACCAGCAACAGTAGATGAATTGAGGGCACACAAATACTGAACGAAATGATGCTTGATGTTTGTGATTCCATTGCTTCGTGTTATCAGCAGTGCCTGGGCCAGAATGATCATCAATTTGCAAGCAGGTATTGATTCATTTCTGTAGGTTCTTTTACATTTTGAAAATGAGCTGTATGTTAATAAGCACTGACTCTATCATCATTCCAAGTGCCTACACATTTTTTGAGATGCCTGTGTATCTCACCATTGACCCATATAAGTGTCTCAGGTACAAAGCATGGCCTCCCCTCTCGTCCCTGCCTGGCTGACCAAGGGAGGGGAACTTTCTGTCATGGCCCAGGCACTGCTCCTCCTGCCCCCTCAGGTTTCCGAACAGCTCATAGAACAGCAGACATGCCCTGTTCCCATGCACCTGGGTACTCCCATTCCTCATACTCATCCTCTATAAAGAGAGGAGGGGAGCCCTAGCCAGTTTAGCTCAGTGGATAGAGCACCAGCCCATGGACTGAGGGTCCAGGGTTTGACTCCAGTCAAGGGCATGCACCTCTCTCTTTCTCTGTCTCTTCCTCTTCCCTTCCACTTTCTCTATAAATCAATGGGAAATATCCTTGGGTGAGTATTAAAAAGAATACAAGAGGGGAGGACAGTTAAGGATTGACCATTGGCCTACATTTTACTAGCGGGCTTTTTTCTGAAAGGCTTGCAGCTATTTTCTGATGCTTCTCATCCATGTTGTTTCTTTTATCTAATTAACTAGTGGCCCGGTGCACAGATTCGTGCAAGGAGCTTGTCCTTCGCAGCCCCAGCTTCGTCCAGAAGGTCGTCCAGAAGGATGTCTGGTCTAATCTGCTTTTATTATTATAGATATGGCCCTGGTTCTTTGGAGCAAATCCACAACATTCTGTGTGTCCCAGCAGTTTCTCCTAACACTGGGAAGATAAGTCCGGTTAAATCTTCTCCTCAGGCCCACCCATCTTCATTTCAAAAAAGCTTACTGGGGCCTTCTGGGCTTGGTAGCTCTCTTGTCCACTGAGCTTCCCTGAAGAGCTTGAAATAGACCTATCGGTCAAGGGTTCAGTCAGAAAAGTAGAAAGCACTTTTACTTAAAATAGAAGAAATGAATGCAGGGAATTAGGCTGCAATATCGTTGGAAGGCCTGAAGAGACTGGAAGGGAAGGAGGTTTTACCAGAAATCAGCACTGACAGGAAGCCAGGCTGTTCTGCCCTAAGCAGTGGCCTTGGGACGGGCCCTCCCTGGCTCTTGTAATTCCCCCACAAAACTCTGACACGATCCCCTAGAAAGGCTGGGAGGGTTGGATAGACAGGCCTCCCTTCCCCCTTAGCAAGTCAGTGGCCCAGGGCTGGCTCACAGGCAGCCCAGGCATGTTCAGAGACTTTTCTGAAAGAGGTCACAACAGAAGATCTAGTTGATGTAGGTGCTTCTTCAAGCCCCTTCATTAAAAATATCTTCCTGTGGGAAGACTTCTCACCTCCTGGGTTCTTCTCCTGTCTCCCCTCACAATGTCCCAAGAAAGGGTTTTATGGTGTTGACTATCTTCTACCTCAACCAAAGACATGGTTATGCACTCACCTCCCAAACTCTTAGAAGAGGATGAGTTTCAGTCCTGCCGATAAATGAGTACCCATCTTCTAATTCAGTGGTTCTCAACCTTCCTAATGTCACAACCCTTTAATACAGTTCCTCATGTTGTGGTGACCCCCAATTTCATTGTTACAAATTGAACATAATTAAAGCATAGTGATTAATCACAAAAACAATATGTAATTATATATGTGTTTTCCGATGGTCTTAGGCGACCCCTGTCAAAGGGTCGTTCAACCCCCAAAGGGGTCACGACCCACAGGTTGAGAACCTCTGTTCTAATTTAAGGTCTCAACAGTGAGAGTTGTGGTCCTTCTGGTTCCTTTCACATTTGACCTAGAAAACAGCTCTCTGCTCCCAGCCAGCGTAGCTCAGTGATTGAATTTTGACCTATGAACCAGAAGGTCATGGTTCGATTCCCGATCAAGGCACATGCCCAGGTTGCATGCTCGATCCCCAGTGTAGGGTGTGCGGGAGGCAGCTGATCAATGATTCTCTCTCATCATTAATGTTTTTCTCTCTCTCCCTTCCCCTTTCTCTCTGAAATCAATAAAAATATTTTTTTAAATAGCCCCCTGGAAAGACTGATGCAAAGGTGCCTGAGGCTGCTCAGTCCATATCTGAAAAACGCCTTATTGCACCTTCATCTTCAGCATCCCAGGACACTCATGATCCCCCAGTGAAAGGTGTGGACTCTGGGCTCCCAGGGACAAGTTGGAACCGTGTTAAAACACCATTGTCACAATGTTCTAATTGGGAGCCACAAATTAGAGGCTCAAATGGGAGGAGGGGAAGGCATGCTTAGTACAATCCTTCTCAAACTCCTTTTGAAAGGTACTTAGTTCATTTGTATTTGAAAGACTAGACAGCATGCCTGAGGGAGGGACCCATGTGGCTTAGTTATCTATCTTCTTGGAAAAATCACTAAAAATTCTATAAAAAATAATTCCTGAATGCAGTCTACTCTACTCTATTCTTGTGGAGTAAACTTGGGAATTAATGATATGATAACCCCTGTCAACAGAAAACAAAACTGAGATGATAAGTGTTTCATTGGTAACTCTATGGTGCCATCTGTGCTGTAGAAACTGGAGCTTCTCATTGAAAAGATACTGGACATACACACTTTGGTCCAGAAGGGTTCTCTGAGTCAGTTTACTGAAAACCTGTGTTCATGAGCAAAGCTGCTGGGCACAGCCTCTGCCATCAGCAGGAGGAAATGAAGAAATATTTCACAGAGTTCATGTAATCATCTTTACCCCAGTTTTCACTTTATTGAAGTACACAATCCAATAACAATACCCTGTTTTAGTAAAGGAAACTGGGATTTAGGCAATGAATGATGACATCTAAAGAGAACAGGACCCTGATGCTGGTTTTCTCTCGGTTTCTTCGTTTTCTGGCACAGTGTGGCTGCAGTGGTGTTTCTAAAACACAGGCAGATGGCTAAGCCCAACACACTGCCCTTGCTGGGGCCAGCCAGTTAAATCCTTAGAAACACCACTTCTGTTCTATTCGTGTTTCTCTAAAATGGCATCCCGTTTGTGGTGGTAAATTGTTTTTAAATGATTGGTTCTCTGAAACCAACAATGCATGAATCCTCCTCGTGAAGACTGCTATTATTTTCCACTCCATCGGTCTCACTGTGGACGGTGGCGGCCGCGCGAAGGGTTCGGCAGGCTGGGAACCTGGTGAAGCCCAGCCCTCTGCACCTGGGCCCATTTCAGAGCCTTCATTTAAAGAGAGTCTGGTCGGACAGAAGAGGTTTGCTTCAAACGCCTTGTTGCGCTACAAGGCCAATAACCAGTCGGGCAGCGCCGAAAATAGGAACAGGGTTACAGGCCCCCAGACAGCTCATCAGAGAACCTGGATTAGTAAATTGGAAGTCACGCCCCTGAAGAAAGCAGGGCAGTAAGTGCTGCTGTAAAGGTGATTTAAAGGAACTCTCTGCTCCCCGGAGGGGGCTTAACGCTTCCCCTGCTTATTCACATGCGCTGCTGTGTAACAGAAATAAAGGAAACATAATGGTTAGAAGTCATTTGGGGACGAAATTACAAATCTCTCAAAATATGCGAGCGAAGGGTGTGAATAAACATGCCACTGTTTATGGGGTGTTAACATGCCACAGCTTTGCTAGACGTTAATTTAGGTCCAAGTGACAAAATTGTAAATGAAGTATCTATGCGTCTTTTCCCCCCTCACCTTACTGACTACCCACAAATATGGGAAAGGTGCCAACAGATTACAAAATTCAATCAGAAAGTATCACTAAAGGTGAAAGAAAATGAGATTTCATTTCATATTTAAAATAACAATGTTTGGCCCTAACATGTTTGGCTCAGTGGATAGAGCATCAGCCTGTGGACTAAAGGGTCCCAGGTTTGATTCCAGTCAAGGGCATGTACCTTGGTTGCGGGCATATCCCCAGTAGGGAGTGTGCAGGAGGCAGCTGATTGATGTTTCTAACTCTCTATCCCTCTCCCTTCCTCTCTGTAAAAAATCAATAAAATATATTTTAAAAAAATAAAAATAAAATAACAATGTTTGGCATTTAAGTGAAATTCTACCTTAGAATACAGTGGATGTTAAAAGAAGAAAAGCAAGCTCCCTTAGCTTGTGGAGGGGGTCAGATGGAGAATTTCTTCTATTCCTCAAAACATTCAGTATGATCACTGTACATCATTTTCTCCTATGTCACATGTCATGTATGGATTCGATTAAATTATAAATGTTAACATCATGTAAGAATTTTATAGAACCTGTAGGATTTCTACTTGATTGCTGTCATAAACATTTCGTATAACCCAAAGATTCTATACAACAAGTGAATAGAAAATGGTATTTCTTACCCAGGAAAATGCACTTGATCTGATAAAACGACGTCAGGTTACAGAATCACCAGATGGTTGTCCTAGAGTAGAGCCTGCTCTTCATCCTTAAAACAATGAAAAATAGATTAAAGAAATTTATCCATACTCTTTCCTTTCATAGAAAATGTCAGCTTTATCAGGTGCACTTCTCCGTGTTATGCCAAACTCAGCCAATCACCATCTTTGGGGGGGGGGGGGGGGGACATACATGCAATCAGTAACCCCTTGGTTGAGGTTCTGGAGACTGGACAGCAATTCAACCTGTCCCCACTGCCATCTTTGCCACTCCACATTTTACCTAAAACGATGATTAAATCCTGCATACTTAGACGGGTATTGGAATAAGTGTCTTGAAATGACCATCAGTGAACTTAAATTCTAGCAATTCCGAATCTGGCAATGCCTGCCAAACAGCCTGGACCCGAATCCTGAACATGACTTAACACCTTCGCTGCCGCGGGATCATCACTTACTCCTCTGAGCCTCAGCGTTGTTGTCTGTAAAAACGAGAGAACTATGTCAACAGTGGGCGTCATTGGGATAACAAGTCATCTACGCAAAGCGCCCAGCACCAGGCTGGCACGCGTCCTCGCTGCTCACTCGGCCACACCTGTTAAACCCTGGATGCTGTGGAAGCCAGACTCTCTCGTGTTTGCCAATGGCACATTGTCTTCTTTCACCATTAAAGAAATTATAAATTTTTTTTTAAAAGGAGGTGATTTTGCCCTCTCTTTTCCAGGTCGATTCCGCTGCTTGATCCCGTTTGGATTGGAAGGTATATTTCGTTTGCTGGGGCTGCTGTAACGAAGTACCACAAACAAGTGGCTGGGACCACAGAACCTCATGGTCACAGTTCTGGAGGCTAGGAGTCCAGGATCAGAGGTCAGCAAGTTTGTTTCCTTTCGAGGCTGTGAAGGGGAATCTGGCTCATGCCTCTACCTGGCTTCAGGGGCTTTGCTGGCCATCCTGGGTGTTCCTGGGTCTGCAGACCATCACCCCAATCTCTGCCCTTATTGTCACATGGCGTTCTCCCTGTGTCCAAATTTCCTTTTTATAAGGACGCTAGTAATATTGGATTAAAGCCCACCCTGCTCCAGATGCAACTAATTATATCTGCAAAGATCCTTTTTCCAAATAAGGTCACATTCTGAGGTGGGGGCAGGACTTCACATATGGCGAGGGGAGAAGGGCACAGTCCATTCTCTCACAGAGGTTGTGAGCCTCTCATCATTTCTGTGAACTTTCTGATAGACTCCAAAGGAAACAGGCAGGATCTAATTATAACTCTGGCTGTCAGCCGTTTTACGAGTACATAGCAACCAATTTGCGCTGGAGCCTGAATGTGTAGCACTATGGACACTCAGAGAAAGGATCGGACCTTCCTTCAGAACAGATCTTTCGTCTGATTTTTTTTAAGTGGAAACATCACAATTGGTGTCTTACATGTATTGTCCACTTTCTTCTATTGCAATTAATAGTTCAGCTAACGACCACTTCATTGGCAAGAAGGGGTTTCAGAAACCCTGCAGTGGGAAATAAGACTCGTGGCGCAGCTTGTCCAAAAGCCCCAGGATGGTCGTCAGCTGAAAGCGCAACCATGCTGATGTTGCTCAAAACAAGGGGGCTAAGCCCGGCGGGCGTGGCTCAGTGGTTGAGCCTCAACCTATGAACCAGGAGGTCGCAGTTTGATTCCTGATCAGGGCACATGCCCAGGTTGTGGGCTCAATCCCCAGTGTAGGGCGTGCAGGAGGCAGCTGAACAATGATTCTCTCTCATCATTGATGTTTCTCTGTCTCCCTCCCTCTCTGAAACCAATTAACAAACAAAAAAAGAATACATGGGCCCACGAAAATAATTTTTAAAAAAATTTAAAAAGGAGGGAGCCAGACTCTGAGGCCTGCAAGTGCTTTTGTCATGGCAAAATATTTTTATTGTGGTTTTCTGTTCCTATTATTTGAAGAGGTGGTCCACACCCAGAGATTTTGTTTTTGTTTTTAATGGGGGAGCACAGGATGCAGAAAAGGTTTGCAGTAAAAATAATGGAGTCCTCCCTCTGTGCCTCCCAGCCACAGGTTCCCCTGCCTGGAGGCAGCTGATGCTGCAGGGTCTTCAGGCCCCACAATTAAAAAGATGAATACAAGGAAACTCACACCACAGAATGCTGCTTCTGTGGACTGGCCTGCACCTGGCTTTTTTTCCTCTTTATCTTGTGTCTTGAGGACCCTGCCCTGTTTTATTTGCTGCATTTATGGTATTTCAGAGTCAGATTTCTCTTTGGTAGGAATTTTATCTTGGTAAGCAGTGCAGTGTTTCAACAACACCAAAATGCGCCCCCTCCTTGTCCCCGCCTCTGCTGACGACCCAGAAGGCAAGTTCCTGCGGAAAACACAAAATCTGGTGGGAAAATGGACATACTTACCCACGGCTTTCAATGGTGCCATTGTTTTAGAGAAATTGGTGACTTGCAGTTTAAAAAAAAAAAAAAGACTAACTAAAAATCAGGTTTAGGAATTCTGTTTCCTTACCCAGCCTCCCTTACTAGTTCCTTTGTTAATAAAATTTACAAGTGAAAAAAATCATTAGTTCTATGACGCGATGGTTGATAACCACAGTGACTCCATCCTAGGACTGGAATGTAATGTATCTGGAACTTTCCTGTTGTTGCAGATTGAGGTGGTTTGTAGGTAAGCATACAAAACAACTCTGAAAGGCACACGGTGTGATTGCATGCACACATTGTCAAATTGCCCCCGGGAAATAATTTGGACATTTGTTCTTAACATTGGGGACCTGGGCCCCCTTGAAAATCTGAGGGAACTGTCATCTCTCCTCAGGAAAAGAAGGCAAATACACACAAAAAGGACCCCAGTACCAACTTCTGCTCCTACCATCAATATCAATGCCTCTTTTGCTCACACCTTCACTTTATTTTCAAGCTTTTTAACTGATTTCATAGATGAAAGCAATACCACTCTTTTCTTAATTTACATTTTTTCATTGTTTATGAAATGTGAATCTTTTTGTGTGTTAATCCTCACCAGAGGATTTTTTTTCTCCATTGCTTTTCAGAAATAGTGGAAGAAACGGGGAGAGAGAAGTGAGAGAGACACTTCAACTGGTTGCCTCCAGCACATGGCCTTGACCTGGAATCGAACCCAAGACCCTTTGATGCATGGACTGAGGCTCTAACCACTGACCCACATGGGCCAGGGCTGGACACTTTTTAAAAGTTGATTGGTCATGTCTGTTTTTTGGTACATTAATTATTTAAATATTTTATATTATTCCGATTTTAAATATTAAATTATAATTTTTAACTCAACACTATAAAAAGCAGATGATAAATTGGAATCATCAATACCTAAGTATCCCCTGGACTGAAAGAATGGAGTCCTATGAATATCAGGTTCCAGTACTGCATGTCTCATCTTTTCCACTAGAGGGCAATATTAACTCATCTATCATGAGCTTCTACAGCAGGCAGGCAGCTCAATTTAAGTTCCCTAGAAAGTATTTTTCTTAAAAACACCTACAAAGAGGAGAGTTACAAATATTTCATTATGTATCTAACACCTGGCTATATAAAAAATGGCTAATTTTTTTCTATTTTATTTGTTTCAATGCAAGAAAATGTACAAATGGAATTTCAATAATTAGATGGAAACTATGACCTTATTAGCATTCCTTACTGCATAGATTTACTGAAATTACTATTACTTATAGAATGGTGTTTAGAGTATGACTTATAAGCTGGAACTTCATAAACCACTAGTGGACACTGAGGAAAGACAGTTGACTCCTGGAAAGCATCTTAAAAGACAACCAGATTCATTCTTGACTCCAAATATTTCATAACCTCGACTGATCACGTCCTACAAGAGAAAGCATGTGGGGGTTTTTTTCCATTCAGTAAATATGTACTGATTACCCACATGTGCAGGGCATTCTTCTGGGGCCTGCAAACAGTCAGGAAGAAAACAGGAACCCCTCACCTCCAGGAGCTTACATGCTAGAGGGGAGGGGCAGGGAGGATATTGGAGCGTGCATGGCATATATACACACTAAGAGGCTGTAGGTGCTGAGAGGAAAATGAAACTGGGAGGGAGAGAGGGCACTGGGGGAAAGGAAGTGGCCAGTGCAGGCTTCATGCATGGCCAATCTGAGCAGAGAGCTTAGGGAGTTCTGAAAACAGATCATGCCACACAAGGAGAGAACATCAAGTGCAAGGGTCCTGGGGCAGGAATGGATCTGCCTGGTGAGAAGCAGCAAGAAAGCCAGTGTGTGTAGAGAGAAGTGAGGCGGTCAGGGGCGGGGAGTCCCGACAGCCAGCATCAGGACTTGGGCTTTTAGTCTGAGATGCAGAAAAGCTGGGGTTTTAAGCATAGGCAAGATATGATCTACATGCATAAAAAGAATCACTCTCACTACTATTTCTAGAAAGGCTGTAGAGGCACAAGGGTAGAAACAGGAAGACTAGTTAGGAAGCCACTGAAATAAATTAGGCGAGAAAAGATGGACCAGGGTGACACAGCATGGAAAGAATTTGACATGCCTCTGAGCTATTGAGTAGGTAGTTGTATACGGGAGATTGGCATTCAAGGAAGAGGTCTGAGTTGGAAACGTGAATTTGAGAGGCCTCCGAGATGGATTGAGATCATAAAGAGAAGGAGTGCAGAGAGAGAAGAAAAGAGGTCTGAAAACCAACCCCTGTGACATCTGTCTGGAAGTCATGGCAATGAGGAGACACCAGCAAAGGAGGCTGAGGAAGAGGGTCCAGTGAGGTAAGAGGAAACCCAAGAATAATGTGTTTGGAAGCAACTGTTTGCAGGAGCAGAAAGTGGTCCATTGTCACAAGCTGAGGGCCAGGACTGACCCTGGGTGTTAGCAGGGCAGGTCACGATGGCCTTGACGAGAGCAGTGCTCCCAGGATGCTGGGGCCAGAAGCCTGGCCACAGAGGATGGCAGAGACAACGTGTGAAATAGGAGCCAGGAGGCACCGCAGTCATTGTAAGGAATGTTGATAGAAAGGGGACCCAGAAAGGAAGCAAGAGCTGCAGAATGATATGAGGCCGAGAGATGATTTTCAAAAGATGGGAGGGATGACAGCACGAGTGCATGCTCTCAGCAGTAGCCAGGGAAACCTGGAGGCTGCCGGGAAGCGATGGGACTTTCCAAAGCCAAGCCCTTCAGTAGCCAAAGGGGATGGGATCCACATGGCCCAGATGCTGGGAGGTGGGAGCATTTGATTAAGAAAAGTAAGTCACTATTCCCCATGGCCGTTGATTCTGTATTTTGCTGGGGAATGTGCCTTGTACGAGCTTTTTATATGTTAAAGCGAGTACCATGTCTAACTGAAAAGCGACACTATATAGCACCTGATTCCTCAGCGCTGATGTTGGAGGAACAGCACATTCCACGGCCACCTGGGCCTGCCTTTCCGGGGGTAGGAACCCCGAGTTGATGACGGCTGCTGCAGAAACCCCTTTGCTTACTGATG